CTTGTGGCCAGCGCATGCACGGCCTCAAGGTTGCGGTTCAGTTGGCTCTGGCAACCTCCGATAGATGAAGTTTTAGCCGGAGGAGATGATGAAGCAAGAAAAAGATGTTGTATGTTTCTATCACATCCTTTATTTTGCGGAAATGGGAGACAGGATAAGAGGGGGGGGGGGGATTTGGGGATCTCAAATGTAAGGCACACACAGCACTATTAAAAATCGTGATCACATCCCTCTATGTACAAGAGGCACACTCGCTGAACAGTCTCGATATTAAATAACATTTGTGCAAGACGAGACGAAAAAGGGAAAAAAAAAAACAACTCGAAAGAAATCAGATATGAGAGAACAAAAGTACGGAAAAAAACACACACACTAAAGGCCTTTGGAAAGCAGCTTAAATAAGTTCGCCTCTCCCTAGCTGCCTTGAGACATGCTAGCCGACACGTGCGAACTCAAGACACAAAATGAAAAAGAGTGAACAATGCGAGAGGAACAGCTACTGCAGCAGCGTGTAGTGAACATTTGGTCAAAGCGTTTGTAGCGAGTTTATCGGGACACAAGGACGACAGGGCTTCCAAGTGCCACAAAGTTGCACGAGAACACAGATGGGAAAATCAACACAATTACAACAGACACTGAAAATGTCTAAGGGCGAAAATAAATGTGAAAGTTAAACATACGCTTAAAGAGGACGCTAAAGGTGGGTCAAATGCTCTAGAAAAATAGAACTACTTTGTTTTTGAACAATATAACGATCGATCGATCGATCGATCAATCAATCAATCAATCAATCAATCAATCATTGGTCACACAGCCAAGTCTTCCTTTGAGCACATGTTACTCTTTTGCTAAGAGAAAATTGCCGTATGATCATCGAATGCCAGCACATGACTTTGACAACACAAGCATAATTATACGACCCACCCAAAAAGCAGCCACATGGAAGCCCGTCGGTCCAATAAAAAAAGAAGAAAAAACAGAAAGAAAATTTGGGCACAGGAGCTGTTCGGTTAAGTATATCGTAAAGGAACAAAATAGGTAGAAAACAAGAAAATAATGTCCGCTATCAAACCATGGTAACGATAAAGTACGCTGAAGGAACCTAAGAAAACATTAAAAAAAAACATAGTAACACGTGCCATGGGCCATCTCACGACAATTAAATCCAATAAACGGTGGTTAGGGAGGGGAAGGGACAAGTAGTATGCATAGCTCATCTGACCGCTGTAGGTCGCAACGTGTGCCCTGCGCCTGCGGTTATTCATGGTATGTACAAGCTCGAAGAAGAAAAGAAAAAAAAGTCAGGGAAGTAAAAAGAAAAATGGGCGTAGAATTAGTTCCTGCACTGCGACAGGTCGTTCATCTCCCCCTAGAAAAATAATGCAGGTTTTTTTTTTTTTACCTCTCTCTCCGCCTTTCCTGTCTCGATAGCTCGGGGGAAAAAAAATTGAAGAGACACCCCGAAGAAGGAAAGACGATATATGGCTCGGTCGTCTATATAGCTTCTCGTGTTTACAGACGCCAAGGCCAGCCTAGTCGCGCTCTTTCTGTACATTTCGGCGGGAAGACGTGTTTCATTAACGCGTACATGCGCGGCAATCTGCCCCTGCAGCGGTTCGGGCTCGCGAGTCTCACCGGGTTGATTATATTTCGCCCCACATGCAGTTCACACTCCTTCTCTTTTCTACGTCTCAGCGTCCAGAGGAATGAGATAAAAAAAAAATGAAGACAGCAGGTGTAAAGAGAAAAGCTGCAAACTTGGACGACTACTTATTTAAAAAACCCGCAAATACCACCGTTATACAAAGGCTGAGATAATTTAAGCGAAGCTTATTCAACCTAAACAGCAAAATATTCTGGAAGTATTGAGAGCAGTTTCGTTGCTGATACGCTCGATGTTATTTGAAAACTGCGAAAAAGAAAAGTGAATTAACGCATAGAAGTTCATAAATGTGCAGTGATAACGCGCATATCAATTCTGATATTTGCATTTGCTACAACATCTAAGGCAGGCAACACCAATCGTCTACACATTGATTGTAAATGAACATACAATCTGTGAAAAGGGCATTTTGAAAAACATGCTCATACGAGGTTACGATTTTACGTCAACTGCGGAATGGTATGCCTCTCATAGGAGCAGTCAATATTAACGCAATAAATTCCTGTTATACAAGCATGAAGCTAACAACATTTCTGTTTGGATGTTCTTTCCGTCACTTTGCAAAATCGGGCAGCCATTACGCAAGTCGGAAAGTTTCGATTGATCCACCGAACGCCAGTTATGGAATCGCAACGCATAGCGTTTTACGGTGTCAGCTAGTTGTAGACTTGTAGATTAAGTATATAAAAATAGCTCTTATTTGAAACTAATTATACACGGTGTGGCTACCGGTGTGGCCACCGACTAATACAGTTCTGTGTTATACGCGGCAAATGCAAAAAAAAAAGTAATAATAATGACGCGACTCAATCGAACTAAAACGGCACCTTTTCTTCGCTTTGCGTGTATTTGAATTAAAAAAAGATAGAGTAGTCCACAAGTTTCAGCTTTCTCTTAAAAACAAAGAAAAATAAACGACAACATAAGCGTGAATTATGTACACGAACCGGGAAAGGAGGGGGGTGGGGCGTAATTTGTAGCCATTGGCTGAAATGCTCGGTCATATGGCCGAGTGCTGCTGTGTCATACACTGCAAGCCTCGGAGACGCGATCACCGGAAAGTTTCCATCATCGAGCAAAGCAGCATTCGCTGTAGCACACTAGCGCTATAACAGAACCGAAGCGAGAGAGCAAAAATCGCGCGAAGAATTCGCGAGCGAAGGAAAAATACAAGAGGGGCGCTCAGTACTACATGTCGTGAAAATGAAGTGACGACTCTTTAGAATAAAGTGAAATTTATAGCGGCATTCTAATTACCGACAGCCTGCCAAAATGCGACTTGTGTGTCTCCTGTTATGTGTTTAGCCCATTTATGTAAAGTGGGGAGGCTGGCTTGTTCGAAAAATCGCAATGATGAGATAAACAAAAAAAAGGAAAAAAAATAAATCGCGAGTAACAAATTAATTTTATGCGACGACAGTGCACCAGTTGAAGTGCGTCACGTTGACCTGCAACGGTAAGCAGGCGAGCAGAGACGAGCTGATACTTGAAATTTGAGTTAAATACAGTTAATGACCAACCACATACTACAAGATGTCTTGTAAATAGATCTTTGCGAGTGCACAGGTTCGTTCACATACTAAAGTGATTCGTTTGGGACAACGAAACACAAGTGCTAAAAAGAGGTGCGTTCCAACGCCTACAGAGTATATCTTATATGTATCCTTTTCTTTTGTGTATACAAAACAGACTTGGCCAAATGTACTGGACGACAAGTGAAGATACCATGGTACGGTTTTTCCTGAAACCACAAGCTGTACTTTCTATAAATTCAACTTCAGCTACCTCTAGGAGGCTTCCATCTCTTTTGCACTTTTTTGTTTCGCCGTTCTTTCAGAAAGTGCAGCTACTCACGCACGACGGTGCTTCGTTTTGCCGAGACACGATTTGTACACATATACATTGGTGCATATACCACGCCTTCAACACTATTTGCCCCTTTCGCATAACACAACTGCATGCTGAGCCGTCACCATAAGTCACAGTTGACTTAGACGTCTGTCGACATGTCAGCAATGTCCACTGCTTTCCTTAATCCGAACGATGCAACTCAAACGCCTGACTTTACTGGGCACATGAGCGAATGAACGCACGTTTCAAATGTTACCACGGGACCTTTCTTTCCCCAATGCACGCTGCCCTCGATCATCGTCCCCTGCCCCCCTGTCCTCTTGCATAGAGTGTCTTTTGTTGAAAACATATCGGAAGAGTCATTTCAGAAATATACCTGCTTTAGATTTCATATACGAAAAAAAATAGCAGTGGGGTGTCCTGGAATGACACACAACAGAAGCCTCCCCGTAAGAACTGAATGCTATAAGTAAATTACACGGTTTTAGAGTTTTCGCGAGGGGGCAAAAAAAAATCGGAGTAACCACGCGTGACAAGTAATGATATTAACGCCACGCGCAGATCACGATTCTGCGCATTTCTAAATAAAGCTTAGAGCGATAGTGAAATGGCGAGAGGCGTCAGTAAATAGGAATTACAAACCACCACACCACTCGCATACATCTAGAATAACGCTCGCACTGCGCTAGTTGCCCTACAAGTATGTGCAAGAATAATAAAGAATTTGTGTTTGTGTGTGAACTGACGGCCAGCAGCGCTGATATTAAAGCACCGGGAAACCCACAAAGAGGCTTTGTAGGTAGTGCATACGTACATACAGTATCTCGTGCAAAAAAAAAAAAAGAAGGGGGGATGGCAATGTACAAAATTACTGCTTCTCTTTTAGTGCAGTATCTTATTTCAATTATACTGCATGACATATAATATATATACGTGCTGTGCAGTCTGTAAACAGCATACAGTGACCTCATGACCAAACGGTTCCGAGGGCCCATCTACTTCCACTGTGTCGCTGAGTGGAAGAAATATATAAAAAGTTACAATGGAGAGAGGCTCGACAATCCAAGCATTGCACACGTTGTTCACTACTTCACAGACACCGCCGTCCATGTTGTCCATTTGTTCTTGCTCGCTCACCGTATGGGTTGAACGACTAAATACACACTCGACCAAGACCTCGATTGTATTGTGACAGATAACCGTGTGACATAAGGTCTCAAAAACACAAAGAAAACAGATGCAAATGTGAAGCCACAATCCTGCTAGATGACACCAGAACACATTTTGATGCACTACACGCGAACGAAACATTGGAAGGGAGAACAGAACAGGCCCAGGGAAGAAGGTGTCTACTATTAAGTCAGAATGCTTGGCATTCTCGATATTCGAGGCTCTTACAGTTCTCCGCGACAAGAAAAATAAACTGCTCGTTCTTCTCGCGCGGGTGCCACCAAACAAGATACGCGCGCCCAATCACACACGCAACTGGGCAGAGGAGACAAGTCTTCTCAGCCACCACCACAGAAGTGCCGAGTACACGGGACCGGCTCGCGCAGCGCGTCACGGACGCTGCCCGTCAGCGCCATCAGTCAATCAGTCCATGTGGCGGTACTTGTGCGAAGACATCTGCGACAGGCCCAGCACCGCGTATTGGCACTTGAGGCAGTGGTAGTGCGTCTGCTTCGCGTTGTAGTTGCAGCTGTCGACGCCGCAGTTCTGCGAGGGCGTATACTTCTCGAAGCCCGCGGCGTTGATGCTGTCCAGCTTGGCGTGCTGCCTGCGGTGCGCGACCACCTTGTTGGTGTCCGTGCAGACGAAGTCGCACTTGAGGCAGTGGAAGTGCGACGCCTTGTTGCTGCCGCTGCCCATGCCGCCGGGTCCGTTGGCCGCCGCCTGGCTCGCGGCGTGCGGGCAGTCGGCGCGGACCGCAGTGCACGTTGGCGCGGAACTGGCGGAAGTCGCCGCCCATGAGCGTGTCGAGACGCTCGTGTCGCGCCGTGTGCTGCACGAAGCGCGTCTTGTCGCAGAAGCTGTAGCCGCAGTCCTTGCGAGTGCAGTGGAAGTGCGTCTGGTGCTCGCGATAGCCGCAGTGCCGGTAGCCGCAGTCCTCGTTGAAGCGGAAGCGGACGTAGCCCTCGGGTACCGGCTCATCCTTGAGGATGCGTAGGCTGGGCATCTTCATGCGCTTCGCCTCGCTCACCATGGTGAGCGGTTCTTCGCCTTTGCAGTTGCCGAACAGGGGCCGCTTCTGGTCGGTCGCCGCGGCGGCCGCTGCAGCAGCAGCGGCGGCAGCCGCGGCAGCGTTCATCTGGTTCGCCGAGTTGTAGAAGATGTCTCCCGACGGGCACATGAGCGCTAGGTGCTGCAGGTCGATATTGGGATGGCCCGCCATGTCTCCCAGGCCCAGCAGAGCCGGGTTCAGGGGCGCCATGCCCGGTATCATGCCGGGTGACGAGACGGGCGGCCAGAACATGTGCTGCATGTTCTGCATATTCTGCATGTTCTGTATGTTCTGCAGGCTCAGCTTTGGAGGTGTGTTGAAGAATGCATGTTGCTGCTGCTGCTGATCCTCGTTGTTGCTGTTCGATGTGGTGCTAGTGGGAGGTTGGTAGCCCTGAGGCACTAGTTGAGGAGGTCCCTGAGGCCTCTGGTCAGGCGATGACCTTTTCGAGGAAGGGAGAGTCGGCGCGCCCAGGTGCCGACGCCTCTTGCTCCTCATCGGCGTCCGAGTCTCCCTGCGCCGTTGAGGACACTGGAGAAGACTGCCCAGACAAAGGTGTCGTGCGGCCGTCGGGGTACACGGGCACGGGACTCGGTACACCCGAATGTTTTCCCACGTGGAGTCGAAGCCGAGAAAAGCTCGAGAAAGCCTGCGATACACGAAAGAAAAAAAAAAAGCACAGAGGGTTAGCTTCTCAGCAAAAAGAGTTATATTGTGGCAAAGCCACCAGTGTAGGTAAATAATGTTAAAAAGCTGAAAATTGTTTTTTCGGCAGCCACCCGTACATTTGAAATAGAACTTAACGTATTAAAACAATAATATTAGCGTATGGCTCTCACCTGACTACAAATGTTGCAGTGAAAGTGGTCTCGCTTCTTCTTCTTGCAGAAGGGTCTCCCGCAGTTCTCACACTCGCTGAACATGACGTGTCTTTCTATACCCGGAATCATGTTGGCCACTGGGATGCTGCCCATAGTCGGCTTCATCAGCAGTTTCATGAGCGGTTGCTGGTCCGTATCAGGCAGCGAAGAGGCCGTGCTGGAAGCCGGACTTGTGCGCAACCTTTCCTTCTCCGCATCTTCGTCTTCGTTGTGGCTCCCACTGTCATTGACCGTCTTGCCTGCGCCGCTATTGTTGTTGTTGTTGTTGCTGTTGCTATTGCCGCCGCTATTCGTGAAGGCGGAGAGCGGGTAGAAGGTTCCGGCGGACTTGACGACCGTCTTCTGGGAGCTGTCACTAGCGGCGGGACTAGCGGTCCGGTCGTCGTCGCTCGAGCAGGACCTCTTCTTCGGAGGCGAAGGCCCTTCTTCCTCTTCCTCCGGTAAGGGTGAGCTGTTAAGCTGCTGTTGCGTGTGCTGCTGAGGACTGCAGTGCTTCTGTTCGTGCAGACTCATGGTCGAGTAGCGGACGAATGAGTAGTTGCAGTTGGGTCGCGTGCAGTGGAAGTGCCTGTTGACCTTGTTGCTGTGGCAACCGGGAAGTCGGCAGTCGACGCTTCGGTCGTAGAAGACGAATCCCTCGATGATGTCGATATTGTCGTGGAAGTCTTTGGAATGAAGCACGAGGATGTCTTCCCGGTCGGTCACGTAGTGACACCGCGCCTGGACGCAGTGGAAGTGCCGCTGACGCAGGAAGGCGCACAGACTGTCCGGACACACGCTGTTCTCCGGAAACATGAAGAAGCCCTCGTGTACCTGCGGCAATGTTGACGAACTTGATTATATAATTTGAGCATAGCATGCGTCTTTTGGAGTACTTTAGTTAAAAATTGAGAACACGTCCTGAAGTACCACGTACCGGACGTGGTACTGTGCGATTATAGTGAAGATTTTGAGCTTTTATCCCGAAATACGTTAAGGTTAATTGTTCTACAATCGTATTCTAGTATATTCTTCAAATGGGCGGAGTATTTGAGAAGGTGACAAGCCAATAACAAGAAAATAACTGCGGTATGTTAAATGACAATTCTTCGAGGGGAATATTATCGAGAATTTGATGGTAAAAGTGGCACTGAGGACCACAATAGTGAGTTACTGTGGACTCACTTTCAAAGGCGAAAGCGTTTGCGACAGAGCGCAAAAAAGCGATGACCCAGTGTAACTTCGGAACTTGTCAAGAGACACTTTCAATGCACTCACGTCAGGATTTGTCGTCGGCTGCGACGGAGTCGGCGTAGTGCGCGGCGCCGTAGCTCTCCAGCTCCGACGACTCTTTCGGCTCGGCTTTAACAGCCATCAAAGCAGCTTGTTCGGCAGAGTGTTTCTCCTGTTGCTCCAACAACTTCTCCTGGATGTGTTGATGCTGCTGCAGGAACTGCAGTGCCTGTTGGTTCTCAACTGTAAAGTCCATCCCTCCGGAGCCCAGTGGCATGCGAGGCATGCTGGAAGGACCGGGCATGCCAGGGAGTCCGCCGGTGCCGCCTGGCCCTTGGAACGTTGGGAAAAGGGTCGGCATGCTTTGACTAGATCCAGGCTTGGGAAGTTTGAAGCTCGCGTAGATGGCTTGTGACAGGTGGGGTGAAGTGGGGCCGAGTGGGAACTGCTTGCAGGAGGGAAAAAAACGGAAAGAGCGTCAGCAACTTTTGTACTACAACGACGCCCCAAAGAAAGCGTACTTATTGTCTTAAGTTGCAAGGTATATACTGAGCAAGTCTCAAATGTACTTATAGTGTTACTCGCAGAGCATGTGCTATTACTGTTTCGTTGCCAATGCATAAAAGAATTGCTACACATGCCGCATTACAATTTTCTCACCTCAATCATGCGGTTCTTTGGTGGCCGTCCCCTCTTGCGCCTGAAGACACCGTCTATGGGCACTGACGGGATGGCACTGAAATGGTCCCTAGACATGCTCAACTTGGTCGTGTACTCGTGCATCTTGTAGTGGTCCAGCCGCCGAAAGGGCTTGTCAGTACTGCTCACAATGTCCCTGCAACCATCCTACAAAGAGCACGTCCCGAGTTACACCAAACCGTACCCGACTGTGAACGCGAGTTCGAGGCCGCAAATAAATATTTCCGAGCATTTTGGGACGAGAAGTTTTCTAGGTTAATGTGCTTACCCATTGGCAATGATAGTGCTTTTCCTTTAATGTGAAGGGGCAATCAGGTGGGCATTCTCCATCAATGCTCTTTCCCACGGTGTGGTAGAAGCACTGTGTGATCTGGTCCTGATGCTCGTGATTTCTGTAATATAGGGATAAAATATGAAGCATCTGATGCAAAAAAAAACTACTTCGTTTTGACTGGTATGACCTTTAACAAAACAAATATCTTATTAAGGAGGGTTAAGTGTTATAATTAAACTAATTTGCATGTCACTTTTAGAGTACAGTGCATGCGATGAAGAAGTCAATGTCTTACTTTGCATGTTCTTGGACTCCTCCAATATCTTTTCCAGGAAAAATCATGGAACAGTTGTCGGTGGTGCAGTGATAATGCTCGCGGTAGATAAACTCGCATTCGGGTCGGCATAGATCCGTTGGCGAGTACCTGCGCATAGAGAGCAAACGCACATAAGTACAGATTGTGGCGGACCTGTGGAGATGACAGAATGAAGTCACTCATCGCACAACCTTCCGCGTATGCCTCACAAATACCTGCAGCGTGATTGCTGATTAAACGTGCTGAAATCAGCAACGAATGTATTTAGCAACATCGAATTCGCATTTGCAGAAAACTTGACCTGAAATGAGGAAGTGACAGGATCAACAACCACCAAGTTATGGCACTGCTCAGGCTTAGAAACCCCCACTGGACTATAGTTTGAGAGTCTACAATGTTGCAGATATATTCTATGCAGGTGTGAATGCACCATTCCTGAGCTGCCGCAAGCTTATGATTTCGCGCTGTGATAAGCCAGTTGCCGCGGCGTGAAGTGCAAGACGCGCCACATTCAGGCCCTTGCGAACTGATGCACAAATGAGCGCTCACCTGACCATGTACCGCTGCCAGGTCTCCTCCACTTTTCCCGCATCTCTGGCGGCGTCGAGCGCCCGCTGACCGTTGCTCGGCGGCGCGCAGCCCTCGTCCTCTTTCGCGCTGCTGCCAAAGCCCTGACTGGTCGCAAAGTTGAACGCCAGACCCGGGTGCATGGCGGCGCCCACGCCCGATGCGTTGGGCAGGAACGCCGACAAGAACGCCGGGTCGAGCATGTTGTGCGCTTTGGGCTGCTGGCTCGCGTCGGACGCGCCGGGCTGCGGTGCCGAGCCGCTACCGCCATTACTGCTGAGGCCCATGGTGCCGAGCTGCTTGCTGCTGTCGAAGGACAGCGCCTGCTGTTGCGGCTGGTGGTGGTTCCCGACGAAACCCTTGGGGTCAGCGACGGGGCCCAGGCTTCCTACTCCTCCAGACGCAGTCGTCACGGGCGTAGCGGTGCCGACGTTGGCACCCTGCTGAAGCGGCGACGTTCCGGAGGGTATGCCACCGGGGAACATGCTCTGCACGGGCGAGCTGCTCAAGCTCTGCTCGCACAGGGCCAGCTGCGAACGAGGCAGGATAGGTGTGAGAAATACACCGCATGAAGTCCCGAACCACGCTTTTTTTTTTCTTTCTGGCAATCACACATGAACAGCCGTTTCACATCACTTCCCTCCCTGATGCTAATGAAATATATTGCTCTCGTGTTTCTTAACCGCATCGTATAATAAGCGGGAATAGATTACAGATGTTCACGTAAGCAGCTTCGGTGCAAGACACTTCTGAAGAGAACAAGATGGCTGAAAAATCGCCGAGACTGTCGCGATATAACACGAACGATATTTCTTGAATGTGCCCCAATGACCGGCTGTTTGCGAAATGCCTTTAGAGGAAATCCCGGGATCCTGCATTAATTACTGCACCAGGGACAATGCAGAACAGAGATATGACCAGGATTAGCCCAAGTAGAGCAAGGCCCAAACCATGCGGCTTCTCAAGCATATCCGTACAAGACCACGTGAATTTGCTGAACATCACATCGAAAAAGCTCCTGCGCACCCACAAAGCTTTTAGTTGCCCTGTTAATGGTCAAGCGACTGGCGTATGAAGAAGCATAGCTCGAGACTTCACCCTCTGACGTATACCTGTTCGGCGGTGATTCCGGGAGGTAGGTCGCCGGGCTGCCCGTAGCTCTTGAGCATACTCTGGGCCAGCTTGAACTTTGCGGTAGGCCATCTCGGTGTCCTGGCGCTCGTGTTTGCGCTTGTGGGAGTACAGCTGCCCGCTGGAATGGAGCACGTAGCTGCACCCCGGCCGGATGCAGTGGATGTGGTTGCAGATGCGAGAGAACCTACAGTTCTCGTACGAGCAGTGCTCGTGTTTCATGAACTTCTTGAAGCCGTCCTTGTTCAAGCTGCTCGTCCTTGATGTGGTAAGTCTTGTGCTTCTCTGCACGTCAACGGAGAAAACAGGGTTACGAAGTCGCTCAGTAACGAGCATCACGCACTTACAGAGCTGCACGGCCCTTTTGAACCAACGAACGAACGTATCATAAGGGTTGACAAGGGCGGCTAGGAATTTCGCCGTTTACCGTAGGCTGAATATTATTGGTGTCGAAAATTATGACGTAACAAACAAAATCCGCAAAGTTGAACTCGCACGAGCGCACCAACCGGCTCGTTCATGTGGTCCAGTTTACAACAGTCATCGCAAGTGCAATGTGTCATTATGTACCGCACGTCGAAGAAAGAAGTTCTAGTAATTTCAGCTTAATTCCTAAAATTCACGCAACCATTTCCGCAAGAAATCAAGTCACCATAAGCGTATACATATACAAGCCCCGTTTACGGCGTTTATCGACGACATGCACTTGAAATAGGACAGGTTGGTTTGTTTACCGATATCAGCCTTGTTCTTGAAGGTGGTCTTGCATCCTGGTCGGCGGCAATGAAAGTGCGTGGTCCTCTGCCCGTAGAAGAGACACGTCGGCGTGTTACAGTCCTCGGTTGCACGGAACCTCTGGAAGCCTTCTTGAATGATGGCCGAATCCTTGCGGTGGTAATTCGCGTGCATTTGTACGTCCGATGTGCTGATATACACCTTGTCACAGTTATCCTGCAAGGTGAGAAAAAAAAAGGCATAAACGTTACAGCACATTCTTGAAACAGTGCAATAGCAACGCTGGTTGGCCGCCAATACCCAACGATGCTCAGTGACCCATCTTAAGGGGCCATCCATTCACAAGCTCTGTTCGCTATACGCTTTTCTCAAACAAAATGTACATCCTGATGTGATGGCAGCTTGCCCTTACAGACAGATCTAGCTTAACAACAATTTCGGAAACACAGGCAGGGAAGGCCAAAATGCGGCAAAGGCGTTCCCTACGTTTAATGTCCAATTGCATTACTGCCATCCCGGTGAACAAACCGGAAAGTAGAAACAGTACAAAATTGGAGACATACTTCTTCAGATACACGCAATACATACCACCATGCCGCGATTATCTTTACCCGAGCGACATGAGATCAGAATTGACTCGTACCGCTAATGGAACACAGGGAAATGGTTGAACCGTGACAAAACTCACCTTTAGACAATGGTAATGCGTCTGCTTCCTGTTGTGGGCACAGTTGGGGAACTTTTCCGAGCAGTCGTCCATGGGACTGTAGCGGAGGAAGCCGTGCTGCAGGGATTCGTCTCGCTTTTTGTGCCACTTAAAGTGGCGGATCATCTCCTCCTTCTTCACAAACACCTGCACGATTGCGAGGAAAAAGGCGTGTCCTCGTTAGCAATGCTCAATTCAAACCACAGTTCGACAGTGAAGTCATTGCTAAACGAAAAGTGACCCAGGCCTCTTGGCGGAACAACAGCGAGGCAAGGCGGGTCGTGAAACGCCGCCGTCTTTCCACCACGGAGAAGGAAGTTCAACTTGAGATAATTCTGTAATTGACGTGGCCACGCATTGACGCAGTTCAATAACGGAAGACGCGGGAAACAGAGCTCCGAAAACGAGCAACAATGCAATCAGTATATACGGCACTAATAGATAATATTTCAACGTTATACCTTAATTCACGACATCTTTTTATCTAAAATATTTGGAGTTATATTTAACAGCAGCGTGCCCGTATATAGTTCGGCTTCAGCAGCTGTCTCGTAGCAATCTTGTAAACAGTACTGCCAACACATCAGTCAGCCTGTTCATGAAATGTGTTAACAGACATACACACAAAAAGAGAGAACAATACAGAGAAATGCGTAGTTTCAAAAATTAAATATCTTCAACGATGCTTATATGACGCAGATAGCCTGGCCAAGTGTTTGACGCCCTTCGGGCGAACTCGACAAGAATATCGTGCCTTCTACGGCGAACCGAATGCTTCCTTGGCGATGTGTTTAAACGGCCCCTTAATGTAATCGCGTCAATCAAACCCTTTGCGCACGTCATTAGTTTACGCCGGCAACTATGATTCATTCTGAATACAATAAAGTAAGAGTATTTCTAGAGATACGGCTATATTCTCGGAACAATATATGAGTAACTACAGCACAATAACTCGACCTCGAAAGGTTATTCGAAGCTGCTTTCCTGGGAGCAATGCGTAGAAGCTTACAAGTAAAATACGTGGAACTCAATATCCACACGGAGTTTTGAAAAAAAAAAAAAAAGAAGCCTAGTCTCTGGAAAATGTTCCGCGTGGGCATGAGAAACTGTTCCTGCAGACAGGCCCCGTATCGAAACGGTATCGATTTAACCGCGTGTTCTGAAAAAAGCACAAACGAAAAATTCCCAAGTTCAACGCTGACGTCTGTCTCTTTATGTCTACTCGAATCTGCTAACGAGCATTACTCGCGTACACAGAAACGTGGCGAGGGTGAAACGCATTAGGGCGACGCATTTGCAAAAAGAATAATACGCGCTGCACGCGCGGAAGCCTCAAACCAGTGTCCATTATCAGCAAGACCAGGATTTTTCTCGCAATAAACGAATAAGAGGTGCGCCCGAAAAAAAATGTTCTAGGCCCATCTTCATGAGGCTGCCAGTCTCTTCCTTGGTATGGCGCCTCGAGGCGCCAACCTTATCACGACTCACTATACACGCGCCTTTTTCGATCCTGACGACGACTGCTTAAGAACCACTCGGCCCTGTATAGCACTACATTTCACGCCAGTAATACTGCGTGATCACTCGACTCTTCCGTAATATGCGCCCCCTTGGTTTTATAGCGCTAAAAGCTTGACCAGTTGACTGAAAAAAAAAAAAAAAACGTCAGACGCGTAAAGATAAAAACACGAACTTCGGTAACCGACCTCCCTGTCCTTCCTCTTTCAATCCTCCTACTTGGTAACCGAAGGGGCGAGAAAAAAATAGCTCACCATTGGGGTACTCGAAAAGTGCAGCGCATTCACTCTGCGGGTCTCTTTAAGGGTGATCGTTTGTTTACTTTTGTTTTGTTTAGGTCCTTTCTTTCTATACATATTTTTTTCTTTTGTATGCCCTCCTGACTCTCAACTTATTGCGGCACATCGTTCTTTTTGAAACCCCATTTACCTCTGCGGCTTAACTCAGTGCGTTAGGCCCAAATGAGTCCGTAGCCTCTTTTCCTTACATTTGAGACACCTTCTTACAAAAAAATGTGCTTGGGATAGAAATAGCCAGTGCGAAAAAGGGGTGCGCCAGAGGTCAGGACGAGACCGGCACCACGCACTCAATTGCTCTGTTTTGCGGGAAGCGAAGTGGGCGCCGCGAGCACGAACTTGGCGAGGAGTGTCGAACGAGAAACTGTGGAGTCAAAGCAAAAAAATGAAATGCGTAAGTGTAAAGAAAAAAAAAAGTATTTCGAGGTCGAACGAAGGAGCGTGTTTAATGGCGTCGCTTATGTTTGGAATAACACGGCTGGCTTTGTTTGGTTCCGACCCTTTCAAACCTGCTAAAGAAAAAAAAATCACTTATTGGAGATCACGTGAAAGGCGCTGTTGAATTCGTAGGAAGCAAACAAAATAAAGTTAAAAAGGAAGAATGATTTCACTAGACCTCCCCGCAGTTTTTTGAAGCTGTAGCCACGTTTCTCTTCGCATTGCGCCTTTTACACGAAAGCCACGTTGCACGGAATGGCTGCACGAACGCAAATATTCGCTACTACTTTGCCTTGATTGACCCCACGTGCTGAGGTATGGAACTTAGACACCAGTAAAACGGCGCGCTGATATTTGGCAGAAACATTCGATTACTGACCTTACGCAACGTCGAACTTCAGTGAAATGCTACTGCGTGTAGTGACTAAAGGAAATCAACTTTTTTCAATTCCTATGCTACCTTGCGGCCGTTTAAGATGGGGAGCGCGAGCTGTGCGGGTTGATCCGGGACGACCGGTATTGTCAGAACAAAAGCCTCCAAGATTGCATTGCGTATACAGGGACCAAGGAGTCAGGGATCTTACGCCCGGTATTTCTGAGGCCATGACTTTACCAGAGGGTTTCGCAACTTTCCCGCTAGGGGAATGGCACGTGCGCCATGGCACCACGAAAGAAAAAAAAAAAGGCACATTGTGGTGAATTCACTATTCTAACTCTTGGTTGCTAGAATAAAACAGTATCGACGTCTGCTATTTTGGCCTCGGTCACCCCGCGTATACGCTAAACCCCCGCATTTTCAAATTCCTGCAGCTAATTGGTTGTCCAATAATGAAATTAACTTGACCCCACGCAGCGCATAAATCCGGTACCAACAAATGGTGCACGTACGTTCTTGTAGCAAGTTCTTCATTCACCCTTTCTTTTCTTTTTTTTTCTTAGACGAGTGTCACGTCGTTTTCACCAACGGGCAGACAGCTGTCCAAATGTCCCACGAAGTCGCGAGATCTTTTCGCTCCTTAGGCAAAAAATCTTATGCACGGCGACGTTTTTCCTTGACAGTGTCTTTATTTATAAGCGTTGTATGGAGCTGCCAAATGCAATAAACTGTTGCGAAGTGTTTCGTGCACTAAAATCCAGAAGCCTTCTTCTGCATAGTGAAAATGTTCTAAGGCGGCGCCTACATAATTTGTGACCGGTCCACTTCCGTCCGGTTGGCGTGGTTTTTCCAGCCACTCAGTTCGTGTTTCCCGTTTACGACCTGCCTTTTGTTTTCCCGATTTTGCTTCATTTTCTCGGGACACGTGTTCATAATGAAGCTTAGTGCGATTCGTTTTACGACCTGCCCACCTTTGGCGCCCCATGCATTTTTTTCTTTGCGGTAAATATAGTAAGCATTGATACACCCGAGTGTGATAGAGCAGGCAAATAGAAGTTCCATATGTTTTCCGAGTTTGTAAATTTTTTTTGAAAGGGGGCCAGCGCAGAAACACTTGCTAAGACGGCGCGCCAAGTAACCATTAAATAAATAAATAAAATGTATGCAAGATCGGTGCATTTAATCTACACACGAAGGGTAAGCCTATATAAAAAAAAAGTCTGAAAACCGTTCATGGAACATCCTGTTTAGAGCTATCGTGACGATGCGTACTTAATTGGAAGCGCTTAACTGATTCAAAGCTCCGATAAAGCAGGTGACAGACAATCTATGTTAGCAGTACGTTACCTCGGTTGAAACATTGCCGGGTAGCTTGGTTGACCTCCCTGCCTTTCCCCTCCATTTCTCTGTGGGTCGCCATTCTTTGTCGGGTATAGTCAATGCTCAATTTATTCAATTAGACTGACTCTTTCATGTAAATTATTATTTATATTTCATGCCAAGTGAGTTGGCAGTGGATGAATGTATTCAGTACCAACCTCAGTGATGAATGCATTGGATCATATTGGCTTCCGGGTTAAAGCATACCATTCCTTACCTCGAAAGAAAGATTATGCAAGCTGCAACCTCTTTTCTCCCCTTTATCCCTTCCCCAGTGCAGGGTAGCAAACCGGATGTGCGTCTGGTTAACCTCCCTGCCTTTCCTTGTATCTTTATTTTCTCTCTCTCTCTCTCTCTCTCTTGCGTCCGACGGCGTTGCAGTTTAATTACTAGAGCGATAAGTTTTTATGGACTCGATGAGACTAAACATAATAATTAGCGAGAAACCGGAGCCAATGCTAAAAAAATGAAGACGATGGCCTGTTTGTTTCGGCAGTTAGGCTATTACGAAGGGTGAGCACCTGTTTTCACGGAGAGCCCTTGCGTCAGAATTTCTCTGGGAATAGAGGTCCACATAAACAGAGCTACTAGAAAATTTGTAATCGTGCCTATATGGGGGTACGTTCTACCAGTAGCATCATATAGCTGTATACTGTCTTCTCCGAACTTGCTTGCTCATTTCGCGCCACCATGTTACGTCACTGCTCTTCATGAAATAAACTTTTCTCACCGACTTATTCTTGAACAACATTACAACCTTACTACCCTGTCGTCGTGCCACACAGAAAGACGGATGAGGTGACAAGCAGTGGCTTGTCGAGGTGTGGCACACCAGGCATGCCTGCCCCTTCGCCCAGCGCCAAAAATTTTCTCCCATGGCATACAGAGTGAATAATGGCCATTTCAAGTAGGTGCCCCTATATCCCTCTTGAAATCAAGGTGGTCCCCCTCTCCCCCCCCCAAAAAAAATATCTGCCTACGCCCCTGGTGAGAAGCGATTCCTTACCCTGGAGTTGCAGTCCAGGCAGTGGAAGTGTTCCCTGTAGTTGAGGTCCTTGCAGTAATTGCTGCCACACTGAGTCGCGCTGGAGTACCTGCAAATGGCCGGACCCATACGTACCACGTCAGCACACTTGTCTACAAGGTTTCGGTAATGAATATTTTTCGCGCGACACGAGTACGTGATCGCTTCTCACCTGCGCACGTAGCGGGAGTAGTCGATGGGTGGAACCTTGGGCTGGTCCAGTTTCACCGAAAGGCAGTTTGCCAGATTCGTGCTCATGAGACCTGCAGAGTGGGGGAAAAAAAGTACACAAGCGTACATTTAGAACACATAAGGTATGACGGGATGCTTTGCAAAAATATGTCATGACTCATTAGGATAAAATGACTGTCAATACCGCTGAGTACCGTGAAGTTTATTAACACGTTTTTGTTTTTTTTTTTCCTGGCACTGGAGTGTCTAACTGGTGAGCAAATGTTTGTACATTTAAACTTCCTAGACTTCTACGGAATTATAAGGCATTTTTTTTTACTATTATAGATTGTAGGAAAGCTAGTTTAGTTCTGGAATGACTCACAATTGTCTGGCATGGTCACTGCCCAGAAATGGAAAAGAAATAACCCGTTAACGAGATAAGCTGGGCTATAGTAGGTGCTCACTAAATCAATGCATCTATTATATCAGCAATCACACGTTACAAATGGCAAGAAAAAAAACCGCTAGCGTTTCTCATATGTGGTTATGTCAAGCATATGTTCGCTAGAATAACAAACGCCGATCATAAACAAAAACGAGATTGACGCAGCCTTCAATGCTGGCATTTCTTTCTCGTGTCGCTTCGCAAACTATATAGTTACCTTGACTACACTTTCAACAGATCGAAGGCCGTGTCGAATAAAAAAAAAATGCGCGTTCTCTCCACTGACAGCCGCATGGGTCAACGTCAAGTGTAAATGAAACAACTAGCGCTTGCCCTTTTACTGCAGGCAGCCATTCAAACGTGAAGAACGGCATGATACACTTCACGGCGCATCGACCCAGTTCCGCTTCACGCCACCTGTTTCGGTTAAGCTCGCTCACACTGTCGCTGACGACAACGAGCTATAATTTCACGTCAGGAAAAAAATAATAACCGGCAGCTTTTCAACTCTATAGTCTTTTCGAAACAATGTATCAAAGGCTCGAAACGACACTAGCTGTGCCAGCAAACAAGTGCATCTGAATGAGATGTTTGTAAGGACGATATACAGTGTTGCGTCTATGCCGGGAACACGAAAGCCACGCCATTACGGACACGTACATCGTTACACCAGCTCGGGTGTGTGTGGTTCCCTAATTGGGGCAACGGCACAAAACCGCCGCCAAGGCCACCCATGGGCGCGACCGAACCAGCCGCTCGACTTCGGCCAATCTTCGACTTCGGCTCGACTTCGGCCAATCACGCGCGCCCTTTGTACAAACGCGCGCGTGCGACGTGGCTGACCGCATGCCGCCATCGGGACGTTTCGGATAGCGCTTGGTGCTCTCCGGTGCGATCGGCCGATCCATCATGACTGTCTTCTTGGATATATCCTCTCCCAAGGGGGGCCCCTTCTCCCTTTCCTTCTCTGCAGCTCGTCCCACCCGCGGCTATTGTATTGCCGTGTCCAGAACTCCCAGTCACGTTCCAGTTTAGAGAAGAAGAAAAGGAAAAAAAAACATTGCAATAAATGGGCGAAGCGGAGAAAAGCGTTCTGCAACACATGATCCGAATTGCGTGTTCTGCTTTTTTTTTTTAATCTGCTTTCAAGCGAGCGATCCAAGTGAGTGAGTGGGCATGTCGCAACCGCATTATCATACGGAAATTAAAGTGATCGAACCCAGCGACCGGTTGGTCACACGCCGAACAGTTGTTCCCACTTTCTTTTACAGTGCGTACGTGTGGGAATCTCTCTCAGTAACGTTTTTTTAAGCGTTGTGACTTTTCCGAACGCATATAATTTTGAGCCTTCCATCTTCTCTAAAGTTTTTCTCTCCTATTTTTTTTATTATTTTTGTAGCCATGCTCGAATAGGTTGAGCTGCGTCTGTGAGAACAATGCGAACGAACTTTTGTAATCAAGAGTTTTGGGACATCCGCAGAATAAACACTGGCGCTTAGAAAAACGTCCTTCCTTGAAAAGGCGGTGTTAACTTCGTCGAAAGAGAATTCACGCGCGGATATACAAAACGTTGTTGGACTATTTCGACCCAATACGGGGCTCACTTTCTGGTTATGCCCGTGTGTACCTTTGCTGAGTGCGCCCAAAGTGAAGTTGTACCCTGCGGCTATATGTAAGAAAACTATTTGACTGACGTCAGTTCACCCAAAGGTCTAAAGATTTTAAAACAAAAGAAAACTATGAAGTGAAAGAGGAACGTCGCCATCCTCAGTCGCCCCAAATTCAGTCAATATACCACGCCGAACTTAAATACGTGCCACGAAAAACAGCGTGAGAGAAGGTCACGTGACATGTATGGATAAAACCGTGCATTGCTGAGGAAGGTATGGCAATAGCTCAGCCGGACTGTTGAGGGTCTGCATTCGTCAAGTCGTTTGAAACGGCACTTAGACTTACCGATGACTGCGAGAAGACCAATAACAAAGAGCCTTAGCGCACAAAATACGCGGAACGGCGGCAGCAATCAAAAGTACGGTGCACAGATAATAAGTGACTGGAAGGCGCGCAGCAGCTGCCCTATGTACAAGTATGTCAACATCCTATACGCACCTATAGGTTCGTCGTGCCCGAGCTTTCAAATGGACGGTTAGGCTATGAAACTACAACTGTTGCTAACAACAACAACAACAAAAAAAAACGTTTAGCAAGTTTACTAATCACTCTGTTGGTAGACTCTGCATTGCCACTGGCAGGCAGCGATCGTTATACTACTCGTTAGGATAATGGACGAGTGACGGCCTTTTACATTTTATTTATTTTTTCTTTCAAATCACTTAAGCATTGTAATAGCTTAATTACCGTAGTTACTCTAACGCGTGCACTGAGTATGATAAACAATTCAACCAGGTTTCGCGATACAACAGCCCGACCAATCAAGGGCTTTCGGTAACGCGAGACGAGTCGGCTTTACTCGAATCGGGCCAGGAATCCATAAGCTTCCGCAGGCGCTGCACGCATCTATACAGAGCGCGTCTTCGTTTCGCGGTGTATTATCTGGGTGGCGTTGGTTGTAGCCGATGTCTATCGATCCCTGTCGTCCTCCTCATCTCTCGCCCCGGCGCTGTCAGAGGGAAAAATGAATCGGCCATTGCACAAGGCCTCGATCACGGCGGTCGCTCAAGCGTCGTCGTCGTTGCCTCCGCCATTCTTCCTCTTTTACATCTTGACCGGTTTCATCGGCGGTCCGGCACGCATCTGGCCCTGCTGGACACGCGCAGCGAGCCATACGTCGAATCCCGTGGTGGGAGGCAGGGTGGACGCAATTGGAAAACGTTATACTAGCGTTTCGGGAAAAAAAAAAAAAACCGGCCCCTGACAATTAGACGTACGCGTCCGGCTTTTAGCGGGCCGCTGAGGCGTAAAAGGAGCCGATAGCGAGCGCGGTCGGCGAGAGAGAAGGGCTCTCGTTTCTGTTTTCCCATCGCATACGTAATGACGACCAGACCCCGAGTGAGGCCGAACGCGAGCACACACGAGCACGATGCAGCGATGCCTGCGCTACGTATACGCCAGAGAATATACACAATCAGGCGCAAGTCCACATAGCGTAATCAGAAGGCTCCGTATGCATATCGCTGGATGGAGGGGGAGGCAGAACTTAATCGCATTATTTTCGATCGGCGACACAAACTTCTGCCGCTGCCAAAGAATGCGGCGTCCGGATAAGACGGAACACGCGTCCTTCGAAGAAACAACTCGAGCATCTGGGAGTCCTCGCTGCGGCGACCGCCAACGAAAAACCACGGTTTTTTTTTTTCTTATCTCTCTAATGCTTTAGTTGGTTTGCAGCCTTAGCTATAAGCACGAAGATGGAAAGTTTGGTAGAGAAAGAGAGATTTCGAAACGGAGACGCCGTGCGGGCGTTCAACGTGGCGACGGAGACGAGATGGATTGCCCACTCCAGAGGGCCGTTCGCGTCCCCCCTCAACCCCCCCCCCCCCCGTGCATATATAGCCCCTAACCTCGGCGACAAGGGGCAGTTTTCTAGTTTTAAAATATCAACGCTGAGCTTCGTGATGAGCGATAACCGGACGTTCTTTTTATATCTCTCAAGCGCAGCAGTCAGTATTTATACGGGGCTGTAATCACGAGGAAATGAAGTGGCTACAAGACGCCCGAAGTCGAAAAAAAAATAAAAAGACAAGTCCAGGACCATAAATCACGAATTGTTACTGATCGCCACCTATACTTTTCTTAGCATCGCCATTTGTCTCTAAGCGAGATATTTATCTTTGTTTTTTTTTTCTTCGTTCAAGTTATTTCTACCTTTTGCACCCTTCTGGTTAGACTATCCTTGTTGCTAAATTCTTGTAAAACTGTCTTCAGGAATTCAATTGGAAGGCTCGCACTGAACAAGAAGCTTTCTCGAAAAGTCATCAATAGCTATAGGTGGTGAGGAATATTGTTGCCACGTCGAAATACACTCTAAACGGTCAACGGCTAACGCTGCAAGAGACAGTTCTTGTTTGGGGCACTATGTCATGCCATGCCAGCTATAAGTAAGACCATTGTTATCTCCAGAATTTAAGGCTTCATTTCTTTGAAGTCTCCAGAATCATAGACATCAAGCCAGGGAGTCGTACTTCCAAAGGCTCTTCGATCAAACCTGACGCGAGTAAACGTTGTTAATATCCATCTGCCGGCACAATTCGAAACGACAAAGAGAGGTATATACCCAGCTTCGAGAACCTGAACAAGTATCTCTGCAAACACTCGTTTCTGGCAATTGATGGCATGCCACTGCTTTCCTATTTTGGGCATGCGAAAGTGGGTTCTTGCACGCACTCTTTTCTCTTACATAGCTTATTCGCCGCGTGCCTCGTGAAATATATAGGCGTTCATGCCGGTAGGTTTCTCTTACTGTACGGCGAGATTTTTTTGTTTGTTTGTTTTCGCGTCTGCCGTCCTGCGCACTGGCGAGCGCAGTATTTTACACGTCGCGATACCAGCTCAACCAGACCGGCCAACGGGAGAAAACTGTCGAAGCGTTTTCCCAGGCACACGTGTTAAGTGGAAACGCCTCTCACGGCCAAGCTGACCCCCTAGCGCTAACTAATCGTACTGTCTCATCGAGCCCGTTGGTGG